CAGACTTTTGCTCAATTGTTTATCTATGGAACATTACTGTATTTCTTCATCGAACAAAGAAAGAGCTAATTTCCCTCACAATGTGTGGTCTTTGTTTCACATGAAAATATCAACAAGTAAAGTGGGAAATCATGGGCTTTGTCATCCTATTTAGTCTGGGAACCCTGATTTAATTTTGGAGGAAAATAAGTTTTCTTTGAGGTAGAAGTTCCATCTGCAGTCATTAGCAGCTAAGCTTCACCTTTCTACAAAGCAGCAGCATCCTGTCTGACTGGGATTATCCTCCACATTCCCTTTTCCTCCTCTTTTGCTTCCAGCTTGGGATCTTGTCTTCCCGTCTTCCCCATTGCTCTGAGAAGATCATGCAGGAAAGAGTGAGACCTAGGGTACCATTTCCTTCAGTTTTGGGCAGTAGAAACTTCTTTGCTCTGACTAGATACTGTGCTTGATCTTCCACTTTATTTCCTGGTTTTATGTTGTGTGGATAATTACAGTCTTATAATCTTCACCTTACTCCTCTGAGGGGGTGGGAAAAGCTCCCAGGTTCACTATGCAGTTTACTTCACTGTAATAATGATAATTTGAGTTTGGGAAACTTCTTCACAGGAAAGGTAATTAACTCTCATCAGTCACATGGTTATAAATAGAGGCCAGTTCTCTACAGCCTATCATGCAGAAATAACAAACTGCAATATTTGTTTTTAAAAAGTAGTAGTAAATTAATCTAATCATGGGCTTCTGTATATTGTTTTTGTCTCAGCCAATAAATGAAAAATATCAAGACAGTTGGCTTGAGATCTCCTATGAAGCAGCCCACGGTATTCTGTAAGTAACCCAACAAGAAATACTTGCTTTGTAGGTTTTCGGTGACACAGAAAGAGGCAAAATTTTCACACTTTTTTAAGGCTGGAAATTTTGGATGACTGATGAATATAACATCCATAATGTTCCAGGATTTTATTGTCTATATTAATAAAATTCATTCAAAGAGTTTAATTTCTGCTCCAGAATCTGATCAGTGTTACCAGCACTCAGCAGACTAAGAGGAGCTCATTGGGACCTGGTCTTCTGACACTTGGCAATTCATCCCTGAATGGTGGGCAATCAAAAGGCATCAACAGCTAAAAAGAAAGGTGTTGGGAAGGATAAGGATTTGACAGGAAGGTCTCACAGATATGTATGTATAACAGATCTTTGAATGTAGAATTGAAGAAGGAATAGAAATGATAGCAAGTTTTGATGTAGAAGAAAAGAATTGCTGAGCCAGTCTTACTGGGTAACTAGAAAGCAAAGAGCAAGTGAGTTGGAAGGGGCTTTTATGACTTAAGCAAAGGATAAGTCCACCTCAAACAAAAGATGTTTTTAACAAACAAGGATTTTCACAAACAAGAAAGCCAATGTTGCAAGTAGAGAAAAGATCTCAGAATTTTCCACTGCAAGAAAACTGAAAAAGAACTTCTAGCTTAAACTGTAACATACTAATCTTTTGTGATTGGACATAGTAACATGAATATGGTAATGTTAGTAGTTAGGATAGGCTATAGGTAAAAGTATTGATTGGTTGTCATGTATTAAGATGCTCTGTAATGAAAAGTATAGAATGCATTGTAACCAGAACTGGAGGGGGCTTCAGACGAACCTACAGCTGTGGCTGAAAAGGCTGTGGGCTGGGCTCTTGTCACCCACGAGCTGTGAATTGCTGTATCATTTGGATATAATAAACAGCACTTTAAAGAGGCCTGGAGTCCCCATCTCTCATTATGTCTCTTAGAGAAAGGTTGGCAAACAGGATGTGTGTGGTCTGGCACTGGCATGGGTGATTAGCCAGAAGTGTTGTTTTCTTCCTTATTGCAGATCATATAGGAGGTTAATGTGTTGGGCTACTAACACCCACTGAGATTGTGAAAAGGAGCACAACCACTTGCCATGGCTTGCCCAAGAAGAGAGTTCATGTAAGACATTACCTGCAGGTAATGTTCGTGGAGGCATTACCTGGGCAGAGAGGTCATTGTGTCAGGGCAGTTAAACCAGAGCAACCAGTTCAGACTGCATGGCATGAGGTACATATGTAAACATCCTGTGTCCTCTTCTATGACCTCCTGGCTATATATCCTTCAGCTCTGCAGCAATGGGGAATGCCAGGATCTGCAGAGGGCAACAGTCTCAGTAACTCCCCTCTTTTTGCACCTTGACCCAATGCAAGTGCTCAAGAGAGGCTTGACTATGTGGGTATATGCTAAGGGACATTGATGGCTGGGTCCTTGATACAGGGGGAGGGAGACCCTCCCTGCTCTTTTGGGAGTTTCTCTCAGAGGGGGAACGGGTTAGAAGACTGGAAGCAGGCTAGAAACAAGACTGGGAAGGAGTTGTGCACGCGCTCACTCTCGGAGTCGGAGGAGGAAGGCCGCAGCTGCTACCCCCATCCCAGCCATCCCAACGCTGAGAGACATCTTTTTCTGTTGTTGGACCCTGCGCTGCTGCCCTGCTCGAACGCTCTCCTGCTTCAGCCTGCCATCTCCAAGCATCCTGTTGGAGCACCGGGACCGATACTCCGAGCATCCCTGAGCCAAGTCTCTCCTCCACCCTTCCCATTCGGGACACAGCTGCCATCACTCCCAGTACCCCTGCAGCTGTGCGGGATCGCCGCATCTGCCCCTGTCCACCGGGAGCCGGCTGGCACTCACTGCCAACTGTGACGGTAACTGCACCAGAGGGGAAAGGTGTCCACAACCAAAAGAACTGTTACTGGGTTCCTGTTCTGTTTGCTGTTAATTTCATAGTTGTTGCTGTTTTGTTTGCCTTGTTATATATCTATACTAGTAAAGAACTGTTATTCCTATCTCCATATCTTTGCCTGAGAGCCCCTTAATTCAGAGGGAGGGATTTATTGGCTCCATTTCGAGGGAAGGCCCTGCTCTTCTCTAGTACACACCTGTCTTTTCAAACCAGGACGCCCCTCCCCCCAGTGCTTGAACCAATGGAAGCAACTGGAGCAACTTTTCCATTAACATTTGTAACCTAAGCAATTGGTTTTTTATAAGAGCTTATTCTTCTGAATCATTTCCCCTCCTCTCTTCCTTGCTCCTTTTTGTAGATACGGACTATAATCCTAGGGTAAAGCTGAAAGTTTGCAATGCAAAAATCAGATTGCTGAGATTTTCTTATGCCTGCAAGGGATTCTAGTAAGGATCTGAACAGTGAAAGCAAAGCACAGTTTTAGTATTTGGATGCAGGGTCATTTTTAGCTCTCTACATAGGGCAGGCAATGCCATGAGCTATAGAGCATTGCAGAACACTACATTGCTCAAGTGGCTGCCTCAGCAAGGGCAAGGTTGCTGTTCAGGCCATGTGAAAAGGCAGTAATAGGAGGAGTGCGATTCACATAGAAACACAGAACTAATACAAGAAGATTACACACTATTATTATGTGAAAGAGCATTACAGCAGCAAAATTATTTTGAGGAACTGGTTCAGTACCAGCTCGTTAGCAAAAGATGGAATAGTTTTACACACATTTGCACAAAGATGGAGAGAGAAGGGGAAGGAATGCCAAATGCAGTCTGTGGGAAAAGGCTCTTCTACCCTCAGTAAAGGTAAGTAAGAGGCAGAAGGGAAGTCAGCATCAGCGAGGACACACCTCACATTGCCTTCAAAATGGAGACTTTGACACAGACTCATCATAGAATCATTAACGTTGGAAAAGACGTCCAAGGTCTTCAAGTCCAGCCTTGAATAAACACCACCTTGTCTACTATGCTATGCCCAGTCATTACTTGAACATTTTGGGGATGGAGACCCCACCACCTCCCTGGGTAGATCATTCCAGAGTTTGAAATCTTTACTGTAAAGAAATTCCTTCTGATGCCCAACCTGAACTTCCCCTGGTGCAGCTTAAGGCCATTTCCTCTTGTCCTGTCACTGGTTGCCTGGGAGAAAAGGCCAAACCCCACCTTTGTAAAACCTCCTTGTAGAGTGTTAAGGTCTCCCCAGGCTAAAAACCTTCAGCACCTCAATGCTCAATCCTTCCTGAATTGAGGGGCCCAGAACTGGACACAGCACGTTAGGTGTGACCTCACCAGTGCTGAGCACCTGCCCTGCCCTGGTACCAGAGTACCAGACCTGCCCTGGTCCTGCTGGCCACACTATTACTGATACAGACCAGGATACCATTGGCCTTCTTGCCCATCTGGGCTCATGCTCAGCCACTGTCAACCAGCACCTCCAGGTTCTTTTCCACTGGGATGGTTTCCAGCCACTCTCTCCACAGTCTGTAGCTCTGCAGGGTGTTGCTGTAGCTGAAGTGTAGGCCCGTCATTTCACCTTGTTGATCATTTCACCTTGTTGACCCTCACACCATTTGCCTCAGCCCACTGATCCAGCCTATCCAGATCCCTCCACAGAGCCTTCTTATCCTCCAGCAGATCAACACTCTCACTCAACTTGGTTGCTGCGAGCTTACTGAAGGTGCTCTCCAGCCCCTTGTCCAGATGATTAATAAAGATATTAAACAATACTGGACACAATACTGAGTCCTGGGGAACCCCACTAGTGACCAGTCACCAATTGAATGTGACCATTCAGCATCACTCTCTGGGCTCAGCCATTCAGGCAGTTTTAAACCCTTTAGAGAAGAGTGGGCTCCAAGCCATGGGCTGCCAGCATCTCCAGGAGAATGCTGTGGGAGACAGTATTGAAGGCTTTGCTGAAGTCCAGGTAGACTATATCCACAGACTTTCCTACTAGGCAGGTCACTTGGTCATAAAAGGATATTCAATTTTATTAAGTTCTCAGACTGAAAACAACTCCAAATCTATTTGCTTTTTCTTATCCATCCTCATACAGTTATTTTTATCTGTCTTCATACCACACTGACTGTTCATTCTGTTCTCAGTTTCTCTTGCTCTTCTAGATCAACTGTTCAGGCACTGATTTAGTGATCTTAACTGCAACATTCAGAGGAGGAGAAAACAAGTTTGCAGGCCGAACATCCTTTTAAGAGGTCCTCAGTCCTCCTATTTTGCTTGGGGAAAAAACATTTTTCTGTGATTTATTTTCTCCTGTAGAGCAGAGAGCAGTAATGTTAAATGCTTACGCACGAGTAATTGATAAGACAGCAGAGACAGCTTCTCTATAAAAAGAGAAGATTCTTCTTCTCCTGGTGGACATGAACAGATGCAGCCATGCTGTAAATATTTCATTGTTTAAATAGACACATACATCCACACTGTAGATGCAATATAGATAAAAAACACAGATATTAATATATTATTATATATATTTATATGATAATATCTAGTATCATACAGAGTATATTTCAAAAGACTGACCCATCCACCCATCTTCTGACTAATTTTGAGGCATCAGCCTCTTGCCCAGCAGGACCACAGAACACCTGGGCTTTTCCAGGAGTGAAGACCAAGCTCTGCAGAGTGATTTCTACCCAATGCTGCTCCACTTACTTGCTACTGAAACAACAAAAACCAAACCAAACTAAACAAAAAAACCCCAAACAAAAAAATCGTTTTAGGAAGCTGGAAGACTAGTAAATATCTATTTACTAAAGCGTTCGGCCCTGCCCGAGAAGTCTCCCACACCCTCCTACCCTCATACGCTCTTGAGTCGGGGCTGGGTTCGTGTCAGCCGCTGTCCGCCCGTCCGCCCGTCCCCTCGTGCGGTGCCACTACCCCCACCACCCGCCACTGCCCGGGCCGGGCCCTCCCGGCAGCGCCGCCCCGCGGGCGTGGCGGGACCAGCGCCGGATCCGCAGCGCTCCCTGGGCGGGGCGGCTCAAGCACCTCCGTGGGAGCGGCCGCGGGGGAGGCGTTGGCCACATCAGGTGCCTCCCGCCCGGGTGCCCTAGCCAGCCCCGCGGGCTCCTGGCATCCTACTCCGCGCGGGGGCGGCGGCGGCGGCGGCTCCGCCACCTCCACCACTACCTGTGGCGGCGAGATGGTGAAGCTCGACATCAGCGCGGAGGCAGTGATGGGCTTCCTGAGGGAGCGCGGCGGGCGGGTGCGCAACACCGAGCTGGTGAGCGCCTTCCGGCCGCTGCTGGAGGCCGGCGGGTCTGCTGCCGATGCCGGTGCCGGGGAGGCGGAGGGGCGGGCGGCGCGGCGGGAGCGATTCAAGGCGGCGGTGAACACCGTGGCCACGGTGAAGGAGATCGACGGCGTCAAGTTCGTGGTGCTTAAGAAGCAGCTGCGCGCTGCCCCGCCGGCGGGGGACGATGCCGGCGTCCCTGTCCCGATTCCCGTTCCCGACCGGGTTCCCGACCCCGCCGGGACGCCCCCCGAGGAGTCGCCGGGGCCGCGGGCCGTGGCCGAGCTGCGGGGCTTGTTCCAGGGCGGTGGCGGCGGGGTGCCCCTGCCCAGCAGCGCGGGGTGGGGCCGGCGGGAGCCGCCGCCCAAGCCCTGCATGCTGCCCGTGCGCTACGTGCTGCCCTCCCCCACCCCGGGGCCGCCCGAGGAGGCGGCCACCCCGCTGTCCCCCCCGCCGGTGGACGAGGAGGCCGGGTCCCGCTCGCCTGGGCTGCGGAGGGGACCCAAGAACCACCGGGCCAGCGATGAGACGGTAGTACCCCTGGAACAGGCGGAGCACCAGTGGCTGGTGCTGGCGGCCGATGGGCAGTGGACACAGCAGCTCCACGGGCTGCTGCTGGGCGACGCCAGCCTGGCGGCTCGCAGGGACTTCATCTCCGGCTTCACCGCCCTGCATTGGGCCGCCAAAAGCGGCAACTGCGACATGGTGACCAATATCATGCGAACGGCCGAGAAGGGCGGGTCCCGTGTCAATGTGGATGCCAGGTCGCATGGTGGCTACACGGCACTGCACCTGGCTGCTCTACACGGCCAGGAGAAGATCATCACCATGCTCGTCTACAGCTACCATGCCAAGATTGACCTGAGGGACTACAGTGGGAAGAAGCCGCACCAGTACTTAAAGGAAGGGACGTCTCTTACAATCAGGCGTTTGCTGGGGGACCCCAGCCTTTCCCAAAACATGGAGCACTCCATGCCCATCAAGAAGTCCACAAAGCTTGCGGCTTCAATCTTGAGCTCCACTAGCACTTTCCTGGGAGTCATATCCGATGACATGGCTTTCTACGATCTCACCAAAGGCTTGAGGAAGCCCTCGACTTTAAACAAGCTTCTGACTGCCACTACGGGCCCGAGGAGGAAGCCAAAGATCAGAGGGGGGTTCCCTTCATATTCCTCACTCTCTGAGGCAGTGGAGGAGGAGGAGGAAGAGGTTGTCGTGAAACGCAGACCTGTTTCTGAGTTGTTCTTTGGTCACTAGCCTCTGCCTTACTGTGATCAAAATGGTTTAATAGCATGGCTGGTGTCTCAGCTTTCTCTTGCAGAAGCAGTTTGGATTTTTTTCTCTCCGTGTCTGTCTTTTTGGATGTTCAACTGAATCAGTGATAGGGTCTGCATCCAAAGCCCACAGCATGAAACCCAGCCTCAGGTGCTTGTGGAAAGGGAGTTGCCAGGAAGTGCTATCCATGCTGTATGTACTAGTGCTGATCCATTGGTGGGGACAACAAACTTTGTGTTTAATGGTTGATAAACAACTTATGTGTGTGTGAACAAGTCAAAATGCCTGAGGGACAGCCTTCTTGATCTGTGTTCTTCAGATGGAGAGCAGAAGCGATGTGAAGGTGCATATTTTACACTATGAACAGCAAGGTGGTATCTGGCTACTTTAACAAGGCTTGTTGTCTGACAGGATTAAATTATGAGAGGAAAGATGCGTAGTTTTCTATGTTGTTTCTGATTATTTTAGTAGCACAAGAAGGATATTTCTATTTAGAAAAATCCTATACTTTTTCAAAACAAATTTTCTGACTCTGAGATTTCTCACTCACTATTTCACATCAGAAATGCTAACATAACAATCTTAATTGTTGCCTGATGCATTTTATTAGATGAATTACTTAAAAAGATAGACCCTGAGCTTCAGCACTGAAGTCACTGTGACTTGTCTACCTCAGTTTGAAATCTTGGCTAGTGGTTTAAGTATTTGTCTCTTCCTGAAAGACTTTTTGACCAGGTGGTACTCACCACATGTCTTGATGATACTGTGAACATTTAAACTTGCTGTAGTTGAATCAACTTAAGCTGAATAAAAAACCTTGTTGATAGTGAAAAACTGAACTGAAAAACTGGGAATTGGATCTGTCAGAGTTTCTAAATAGCCAACTGGAAACAAAGTTAAGCTTGTATGTCTTATTCTTTTTGTTTAAAACTTGGCCCATTTTGACCTATTTACAATAAATATTTATAGACATTGGGCTTTATGTAATATTAGGTGTTTCATAATAGAAACTTGGCATGACCTCTTGAAGCAGTGTTTGTCTCAACAGCGTGAATTACTGACCTAAAACAAACTCCTTCTTTTATGTGATAAACATAGTTATATAGCTATATATATAGCTCAAAAAGCATGTTAACTGCATGTAAGGTTTGCAGTAAGATTAACCTAGCAGTAATTAAAAAAATAATAAAGTTAATGCAAGGAGGCAGAACTATGAACAGAAACTGTCTGACTTCTGGGGCAAGTCTGCTAAACCAGCATGGTTTTTCTAAAACTGTGACTAGACACCTGTATCATTGAGAGGTGAGAGCAATGCTGGAGTGACTATGTTTCGGTTTCTGCATTGAAATACTAGTTTGCATGCTTTGCCTTTCCTCCTAAGTCAGTGACTTCAGCAATGTTTTGTTAAAACATTAAACCTAGTACTTCTATGTAATTGGTTCTAATTGGCTTGTCCCGAACATGCACAAGAAATGCTGTAGGGTTGAAGATGGAGGCACAGCCCTCTTTACTTCAAAACACTCTCCTTGAGGTTCCTGGAGTGGGTGGCATTTGTTGGGAGTGTGATCAGAGGTTGCAGCCAGGTCTGATGCACCTGTTCTAGGAAGAGACTGGATTATTCTGCACCGGTCTGCGTCTGGATTGAACTAAGTTGTTACGCAAAGGTTAACGATGAAGCACCTTGTGGCCTCTATATATGGAGTAGGGTTTAAAAAATAAAATCAAATTTGCTTTCTAGCTGTTGGTGTGACCATTGACCAGTGTGGTCCTTTGAACCCTTGATTTCTGCTGTGCTCTGTCAGCTTGCAGAGTTCTGGGAAAAACAGGGCTCTATTTTAAAGTGGCTTTCCAAGTGTATGGACATAAAACTTTTTTCTCCCCTGAAACTATAGAAGTGTGTGTGCATTCATGTTACCTCTGAGGCACTGACACTGCTTGGTGAAAGCATTCTGTTTCTGTGGGAATTGTAAACACTCCAGTTTGGCTTGGCCTTATTGAGAAGTTTGTTCAATAGTTATGGGTATAGGCTTGATACCTGTTCAAACAACCTTGCTGAACTTTAGTGCTCATTCGGAGTCAAGCCTACATGAGCCAGAGGCAAGGTTCAAGGATGGAGTGTTTTGTGTTTAAAAACTCCACCTGACTAATCTGGAGGGTGTGGTTGTGATTTCACCCCCTGGGAGAGTAGGAAGGAGGTTTCATTGCTTCTCTGTTCTGTCAAAGAAGTTACAGCCGAGATAAGACTTCATTGCAACACGTATCATCAAGAAAATTCTGCACTACTCCTTCCTCAGGGGCATCAAATCGATTAGCTGGTGTGATAGAAAAATGCCTAGCGTCAAGAGCTAGGGAGCGAGGGAGTGCTGGAGGCTTGGCAGGAGGGTGGTGTCACATAGGTTGGGAGCTTGCAAGGCTGTAGGTGGCAAGGCCGGACCAGGCTCTGCCAGCAAGTTTGTGCAGTGATTCAGCTCATTCCTCCTCCTTGTTGAGCTGATGAAGGAAAATATAGTATTTAGACAGGCTGAGTACATGAAGTGTGGTACAACTTCAGGTGCAGTTGAATACTGAGAGGTATTGAGAACGCACTGCTGTAATCATACAGGTGTGTGTATATATAGTGCCTTTAGTTTGAAGTAAAACCAAACTGTCAGCCTGGCTGGGTTTTGCAGTCCAATGTCACCCTTGAAACTGGGAAGGGACACTGTAGGGTGATGAGTCATCATGGGAATATTTTCCTGGAAGAGGCTAAAGCTGGACTGTTTTATGAATCCCTCGGCTTGACTGGTTCTCCCTAATTCTCATTTTCAAACCCAAATCTGGCCGAACGCAGTAGGATTTTACCTGAACGAATAACAGCTGTGAAGTTTAGCCAGAATGTCTTCGCAGGAACAGGTGAGAGGAGGACTGGGTTCCCTCAGCACACTGGCCTGGGGCAGAGGCTGTGTCACGGCCTGGGCATGCAGCCTTTCAATCCCTGGCCCAGCCCAGAGCGGGGACCTGCCCAAGGCACCGTCAAAGCTAATAGCAGGAAAGGTAAAACCCCAAAAAAATCTGAGTCCTGTCCCCTGGAGAGGGCTCAGTTGGTGGGGAAGGCTGGAGATGGAAGGCACAGATCCCAGATCTGACATAGTAGCAGGACTCAGCAGCTTGGTGGTATTTTACCTTGGTTACTAGCCTACCCTCTCAGCATGTCTCAGATTTCCTGCTGCAAAATGTAGACGATCACCTTGGTCACTTCTTTAAAGCACACAGTCCGTACTGATATGCAAATTGAAATCAAGATAATGTTTTTAGACCTGTAGGCAGCATGAGCAGTGTCATTCCCCCACTGAGTGAATGCAAATTCAGTGGAGTGCCTACACAAATAAAACTAGATCAGATTTTAGTTCAGCAGCACTAGGGATCAGGAAAAAAGCTACTGTTTGCCTGACCCTTCCTCAGTCTGCCTGCTAAGGCTAATTTGGTTTGTCTGTTCTTTGGCATATTTTGTCCTGAGGAGTATCACCTCAAAAACTTGCCCTGAAGAGCTCTGCAAACAAACCTTAAACCACGGTTTTGCACAAAGGGACGGACTTTGTCCTCCTGGATGTGGCTATTTGAGCAGTGTGAGGCAGTGTGGTTGTGGTCAGGCTCACAGATTTTTTGGCTGTCTTCATTCCCTTGTGAGTGCTATACAGAAATGTGGAATATGAAAACCGAGGAAATGATGCTCTTGCACTGCAGAGGAGTCTTAATGAGACTTCAGCTTCTTCACAAACCCACATGGAAGTAACTCCAAAAGACCGATGAGAGCTGCAGCCACCAGCTAGAGGTAGAGGAAGCCTTTCTAGATAGTCTCCTAATTTCCCATTGCTCATCTCTTGCTCCCTCTCTTCATGTTTCCACCATGACCTACATTCCTTGGAGGTGTTTGCCTCCTGATTTGCATATGAATCTGAATAAAATGGCAACATGGCAGTTTTTGCCCTTTCCTGTTGCTTGTACTATTGTGGGACTCCCCAAATTAAGAGGTTATTAACAGGGACTTGGCTAGCATGTAGTTATGGGCACAAACAGTGTGGTGTTTGTTTGCTGCAGGAGGAGAGCAGGGACAGAGCAGGACAACACAGATCAAAAACTCTGCATCCTAATGAAGAATATTTCTGTTCCCGTTTCAAGGTTTATTTCAGTAATTTATAAGACAAAGCAAGTTATTAAGCACATTGAGCCTTTATACTGTGTGTGTAACTCAGAACCAGGCAAAATAGATCCATACTGTTAATATTAGTACAGCTTTAGTACATCTTCTTCCCTTTCTGTGAAAAGAAAATAGAGATGGGAACAATAAAAGTTAGGCTGGCAGTGTTCAGCTTTCCCTTTCTTGGTTGAACTTCTGCTCTAGGTTTGTCCTAGAGTAATGCTCTACTCCCTTTCTTCACCTGAAAGCATGAGCTCTTGACCAAACCTAAACCACCGTTTCCCAAGAGGAAAATCATCCACCCCATCACTTTGAGACCCTCCAGACAAGGTGAGAGACTCCAGATGAGAAGCACAGCAAGCACTGTGGAGTCACAGCTCACAAAAACCAAATAATGTTCATTTCCACTGCATAGAACCCAATACCCAAATGCACAAGCCCTCGATGTGAGGTCATGGTATTGGAGTGCCAGGCCTTCCCTGATGTTCTCACCCACAGGCTCCTGCATGAGGCACAAGGTCACACCAATAAGATTCACCAATATGGTCACAATAACAAACTTCAGCGGTACAGACAGACTCTCACCATGATTGTTGTGTTGTATTTTCATCCTGCACTCTCCTATGGTAGTTTTCCCCTTTGCAACAAAGAACTCCAGCTTCACCCTAGGCTGGGATCAGCTCTGGACCAGACTTCTCCAAGCAGCCACTGTGACATCAGGTGATCCTGTGCTCAGTAGGGAGTAGCTGAAATCCAGAAAAGGGTCCTGCAGGCACTAGCAATGTCATCAGGAGCTGACACAGGGCAGGGATCTCTGGAGAGATTGTTTCACAAGTGGTTCCATTTTGAGGTAGTTTGGGATGTTCTTGCTCTTCCACCATGGGCTCAGCCTCTTTATTCACATAATTCACAGACCTCTTTATTCACATAATTGAGTCTTTATTCACATTTTTAGAAATGCCACTTATTCTCTAAATCAAGACTATCACTGTAGCCCATATTCTCTCTCTGTAAATTTACCTATGACTCAACTTCAAGGCTCATGGTATTTTAGAGTTTCTGATAACCTTTAATGCCTTTCTTCATTTAGCAGTGAAATTCAAGTGCTGCTTCTTGAGAGCCTTTTGTGAACCCCAGAGGTTGCACGATTCCTACAGGCTGATTATTCTTTAATGTCTGTGTGGGCTCCCTCCAGGCACAGATTAGTTTTGCAATGCTGCTCTGAGTTTATTTTTAAAAATTTATTCAGATGGTTGCCATGAATTCTCAAAGCAGAGAGAACTTACTAAATGCAGCTCTCACAAGCACCAAATAGATCTTTTTGCAGAGTACCTTTGCATTAACTCCTGCAGCTCTGTGTTCCTTAATTAGCCCCACGTGTGAAAGTCCCCCAGCATAACACCCCCGTGAAGAAAATGAGGCTGGGGTTTAAGACAAAATAATTAAATTCCTTCAATTTAGTGCCCAAAAGACTGAAACAGCAGGTCCTGGTCCAGCAGTGACTCTCACACATTGCAGTGGATGTTAAATTAAGTTCTAAATGAGCTACTGTATCTAAAATCTCTCAGCTGCTGCCAGGACACTGCTTGTCAGACGGGCAGGATGTGCTGCTGCCACTAACCGCTCCCACACCTGCACCACAGACCCATGCTCCTGCCTCGGGCAATACAGGTCATCTTCTTATCCCCAGATCAGACCCACTTGCTTCTGCCAAGCACCAAGAAGCTATCGCAGTCTCCCCCCACGCCACTTGCGTGTGGGTGGGCAAGAGAGATACAGAGATCGTTCCTGGAATCCCACCAGCATTCTCCTGGATGCAGCTGTCATTAATTCATACAAACAGCTTCCCGAAGGGCTCTCATTACAATTCTCCATGAAGATGGGCTCACATTATGTTTTACTTGTGAAAGTATCAGGCTGTCAGGCAGCATAGGAGACTCCCAAGGCTGGGCAGTAGTGGGGATTTCCTGCTTGTTCTCCCAGACGGTCAGATACCAAGCAGCTTCTTTATTCCTTGCATTTTCCTAGCTCCACAGACTTCGTTTACATAAGAAGTTGCCCAGCATGGGGTCGTTGCCACGGTGCAGAAGTCTCTCGAAGCTGATACTTTCCCAGGGCTCCAGTCCAGAGGTAACTCGGTTCCATTGCTGCAGAAGTCACAAATGGAAGGCTAGTGAGAAATGGCATAAGCAGTAATTTTATACAAGCACTGCACAGGATTTTATTTCCATAATCCCTGTGGATCTGCTTCCCCAAGAAGAACACCAGTTACTGCTATTTAGAGTTCAAGTCTTAAATTTGTCTTCTGGTGGTAAAGGGTCAGAAAAAACTGTGTGGAGCAGTGAGGGATCAGTGTTGTAAAATGAAGATGCTCTGCATTTCTGTCCATCTTGCCTTCTGCACTGTGTGACTTAAAGTTGGGAAAAAGCTACCACGTTTGTATGGGGATGTAACTAACGCTCTAAATACCAAACTTTCAGCAAAAGGCAATAGGATTCAAGAGCATGTGCTTAAACTATTTCTTGGCTTCAGTCTGTACTTTCAGAGGCCAGAGCTAACTGGAAGGGAAAGGGACACTTTAGCATGCCTTAGTATGTTGGTGTGCCAGGAATGTTGCACACGGCTGAAGTCCAGCATGAACTTTCACCATTACCTGCCAAATAATTTTTTAACAAATAATCAGTATCAAAACTGAGACCCACCTGACAATCCAGACCTGCTGGTGCTTTGAAAGGGTGTCTCTGCCTGCAGAGAGGTTCTAATGCTGTCACTGTGTCCATTTTCTACTTTGCCTGGAATTTACAGTCTAGCACTGTACCAAGGAGTATATTTTTGGTTTTTTAACAGAGTAAAAGTTAATTTTAATTATTGCTCTTTGAAGTATACGTGCAGGTGCCAGTTGTAGAAGGGGCTGCAGTCTCCCCATGGCACAACACCCTAAAAAGATAAGCTAAACAGGGCAGACCCATTTTTCTCCTTAAAAGCAAGCATTAGGTTCAGTAACAAAACACCTATTTCCAATTAGGTGTTTTTCTCTCAACTAGGAATAATAACAATAAAGTGCATCTTCAAGTCAGGCTTCTCAAAGTATACAAAGAGTTTATTTAACATTGCTTGTATTTTATAAATTCTCTGTTGACTCCATTAACATTGCTTCAGTTATTTTAAAGACCATTTTCAAATGGCAGCTTTCAGATTTATGTATTAAAAGCCTGTATTTATGGCCTTCTGAGAGCCAATGTGCAGATTACTCACAGGATCTACAGTGCCTGGCCATTTTCCCTCAGGCGTTAAGACAACCACAGTACACTCGGCAGCTTGGTCACTGTGCTCACAGAGTTCTTGTGCCCAGTGACATGGAATTCCAAAGAAGATTCCTCAGCAGCAGGACAGCTTCTCTCAGTGGTGGTGATACTTACTGTAGCCAGGACACACAACACTAGTAAAACATTTCTTGGTAAAGCCCAGGATCATGGCACAATGAATATCTTTTTTTGGCTGTGGAGGAAACCCGAGTTTAATTAGTGGCTGCGTTATTCGTGGTCTAGGTATGTAGTTTAGGCTGCATGTTGTTCTCACTGAATTCTTGCAAACAAAACACACTGAGATTTTAAATACAGCAACATCACTGGTTTGACTCAATGCAAACACTGGCTTAAGATATTTTTGCCAGGGGATTTATATAAAGTCTCATTGAAATGGAATAATCTCTTCCAGTGGTTCCTCCTGGTCCAGTCTGCAGCAGAGCTTTTCCTCCCATGCTCAGGCTTTTTGTGCATGCTGACAATTGAAAACTACCTAAAAACACCCCCCTGAAGGTGCTGCTTCAGAAATAAATTCTTCAAAAGCATAGCAAAGACTTTGCAAATGACTGTGTAAGAGTGAGCTCAGAGCTTATGATTCCCAAAACTGTTCATTTATACTGGCTACATCACTGATTGGCCCTTTGATGTCAATGAATGCCACCCTTTCTGATTTCCTCTGAACAGTCTGCCAGGATTACACAGAGCCAGGAAAGATTCATGGATGGCAACTGTCCAGAAAGGAAGTAATTATTTTCTTTCATTGCAGTGTATTTTTACTGTGTCACACATATAAAGAGTAGAAACAAATGCAGGAGTTTCTCTGAAATGGTCTATAACATTTGCTATGGCTTTGTGCAATCACCAAATCAAATCTGAACACCCACATAATTTGTCATTTCAAACGCTCAACCCACCCACAAGAGGCAAATATTTGTATGGTTTTTTATTGAGATGATGTAAATCTGGAAACAGATGGACGGACAAAAATAAGGGGAAATACACATTCAGTTAACAGAAGTAATGAATCCTATCAGTCATGTCCACAAGGCAGTTTGCTACAAACTGTGAGATGCTGTCAGTTGGCCCTGTCCAAGTGGCGGGCACGTCCAGAGTGTGCCTAGAGCATCTCCGAACATCTAAACACTTGCCAATGCTGTGGCACAAACAGAATTGGAAGAATCCACCAAACTGAGCTCTGTGATGAGACTACCTGTGGATTTCCAGGGAAACATCACATATAACATATAAAAATGTCTGGCCTGGTGGTGGGTGTTAGATGGGGATGCTTTGGTCAAGATTTTCTAATTGTTCTTTGAAAAATTTAATCTGCTCTTCGAGGTCCTTCTGTTCAATCAGCAAGGAGGTCTTGACTTGAACAAAGTGTTGATAGTCCTGGAGCTGCTGCTCTGTTAGGTATTTGGCAAGGATTCCAGAGACCACACGTTCTCTCCGGTCCAGATTCTCCTTCAGGTCCTTTGCATCTTCCTGCTATCGAGACAAGAGCTTGTGTCGTTCATTCAGCAATTGCTAATGGAATCAAAAAACAAAGCAGCACACCATGAGAACCCATCATTCCTGGCAGACTCTTATTTCTTCATTTGGAAGCCACAGTCGAATTAATTTAATTATTTCCTCTTGTGGGCTTTGTGTTCCACCTGAGTTTTTTCTCAATTGAATTACTCATTCTTGTGGCTTGTAAGGTAAAGACACGGTAAATGCCATCAAGGCTCACTTCTCCTATGCTGCCCTCATGAAAAAAATCAATATACTTAACATTCTGGTCATTTTAAAGTATCCTGTAACAATCTTCATTCAATTAGAAGCTCTTTAAGGCACATATCTGTGTTTTGTGTGTTGCATGTGGGCAGAGTATCACTGACATATTAAAAAGATAGAGTGGCTTCTATTAAAAGGTCGGTGTTGATGCCAAGATGATTTTTTCCTTTTATTTTATATACCTTTTATTTAGCTTTTACATATCCTCAGTACTCTTAGCATGCATACTTGTAATTCCTTAAGTCTGATAACTTAGTATTTTAGTATTCTGTTAAGCCAAGAGATCAAACACTCTAGAAGTCTTGCAGTTGGAGGCCAGAAAGCTCTACATTGTCTTAAGAAACCAAGGCCCCCTCTAGAACATACCCAGTAAACTAAGATTTAGCCCATCTAGGGGGGTGGAATTCCTCGGGATGGGGGGAGCTCATGCCATTCATCCAAGCCTCTCATTGGGGCATCTTTGTTAGATATGCCGATTTGTAAGGTCTATAAATTGTATACGCAGTCTGTCGTGTGTGTGCATTTTGGAGCGTTCCACCTTAGCAAAGTGGTGCACCGTAAAGATCCTTATTAAATACCAAGGTAAAAACCCTTTATCTCTCAACTGTGTCTCTGGCTCTCAATTTTTTAAGACTACAAAAAGGCATGAGTGTGATAAAATAGCTGTGATGCAGACAATAACTGTTTATCAAAAGCTTCTTTTCAAGAGTTGGGCCTTGCTTGTTCTACAGGATTTTTATACCTTTCACCTTTAGCTAATTCTTATTCAGTTGTAATAATTTTTATAGGGATTACACTGCTGGAAAATGTCCTTCTTCAGGACAGTGTCCATAAATAGAGCACAGAGCAATGGTCACTACTGACACTCTAAAAATGGAGTAAAAGATTGAGACTGCTGGTTTTGCGGACATGAGGGTAAATGCAGTTAGTGGGAGATGGCTGTTAAAAATGTTGGCACTTAACCAAGTCTTTATTAGGCATTTTATTCAAATATTGGAATAAATTATTTAAATGTGTTTCCTATGAAGAGTGTAATGTAATACTAGAGAAACAACACCCTCCCTGCCTACCATAAAGCGAAAGTGTTTAAAATCGTTCGCATTAACACAACTGACATTTTGGAAGAGGCGAATCCTGGCTCTCCATGTCTCACTGCATGGAAGGACCTTTTTACTGCTATTCTGTGTGTGAACTATGATGAACCTCCAGAGATACAGGTCAGCAGCAACACAGCTCCAGAAAATTGTAGTTATTCTAAGTCTATGCTTTTCCAATTTCCAAAAGAGAGATAACGGCAGGTATTGTGTTAATAAAAACATGTCTAAGAGCAATAAGGACAGCAGGGAAGCATAATTCCTGGGATAAATTTGGCTTTTCTTCTTCAGCAAAAAGAAGACTTTCCAAGAGTTGAAATTATTTCCTGGTGACATGAAACAATTCCTCATTTTCCATCAAATCTGGCTAGTTGAGTTAAACTACAGTGAGTTTTATCTCAAGTTATGACCACACCTTCCTGCTTGCTAGGACAAACTCATTTAGTGAAATATGATTTCAAAGGCAGTAATTAATACAATGAAATTACCAGTGGAGAAATAAACCCACAAAAAGCCCTGTGAAGCACAGATTTGGAGCTACTCCCCAGGGAGCAGCCCAAGGATCCAAAGGCTACCCCTCTGGCTTAGAGCCTCTCAAGGTTTTGCTGTTGGCCCCCAGTACCCACCTGCAAGCTCACTCTACACTCCTGTGTTCCAGCACAGTACCCCAGTCCTTACCAGAAATCTGCTTTGCTCTGCTTCAGCTGTGGGAACACGGCCCATCCTGGGACATAAATACTGTCTGGGCAATGGCTGGTTGTGATAATATACAACTAATAAGCTAAACAAACTGTCAGACAAATGAGCTGAGTGCAGCTGCACCTGGAAAGAAGTGAACCAAATGAATTCAACACCTTTGTTGTCAATCACCTTCTCCTCAGCCTCTGTATTGCCATCCATCCTGCTGATGGCATTCTGGACTCGGACGAGGCAGCTGGACAAGCAGAGCAAGAGGCTCACCACCTTCTCCAGGTCCCCAATGAACATCATGTAGCGGTTAAATTCATTGGGCTTGCAGAGGTCCCATACCATGACCTCTAGCTCCTTGCCCCACTTGGCACATTCCCTGACTTCCAAGAGAACCAGCTTCTGTTCCTCCCACAGTACCTGCAGCCTGGATTGGAGACTGGCCATGAGTTCCAGCTGCAAAAAAAAAAAAAAAAAATCACAGAAACTGTTATTGCGAAGAAAATCCATATCAGTTCTAGAGAATGGATTTTCTTCACATTGTCTTTGCTAAATTTTTTGACTTCTAAAATAATTTTAAGCAACAGAAAAGAAAAAAGGGGGAAAAAAGCAGCCAATATTTTCTAAGCTGTACTTAATTCTCAAACTCTGAATAGCAAATTACTGGTAATCACCTTAGCTGGTGATATATTCTCTGGCTCAGAGAGCTTCCAATCAGTCAGAAGGGAACTGCAGTAAAGATTACAACATGATTAAGAAGTTGCTCTTCTAAGACATGAGCATTAAGTTCCACCTCTGTACCAAGCTTTGGAAGAACTGATTGGAATGTCATTTATCATATGACAGAAAAAGTCAGTTCCATGGGCAATTCAAGGTGCAGGCCATGGTGCCCAGGTAGAAAAGTAATCAGAGGAGGCTTTCTCATAGGCAAATTATATGGATAAAGGCCTCAAAACCTGAGTGGGAGCACACTGTCAGCTTCTTTGGAAGTTGGTCAATGCCACTATGAACAGGAGTAGCAGTAAGACAGCAGGTAATGTGCATAGCAGAAGGAGCTCCAGGGAGGCAGATTGTCGTTACCTGAGATGGAGCATGGCCAGGGGAAAGTGCCCACCTAACTCTGTAAAGCTACATAATCACCCTTCTAAGCTCCATACTTCTATTACTGTCTGGCTATGTCCCCTATTCTCTGCAAGTATGGAATTAATTGGACTCTGGAATGTGCAGAAGCTGCTGACAACTCCCAGAGTAAAGAATATTTCTTATTTAGGCTGCCAGTTCTAATATATTTTACAGATTTTGAGATTAGATTTGAGTGTTAAATTGGGAGTTTGCTGCTGCTGCACAGGAGCTGGCTGTGCAAGTAAACCTTTAATGATGATAGATGAGAGATCTGAGTTAAATCAGGCAGGAAAATACTACCATTTTATGACCAATATGCCAATTTGCCAGGACTTCGGCTACTGGCAAAAATTGATTCAGTTACTTGTGAAATATTATTGGGATAAAAATATCCATAGTAATAATGACATTAATAAAAATTTCTTTGTCATGATGGAGAAACAGTGGTTCCTATGATGATCATCTACATACTTTCTTAGATGTGATGTCATCTAGCTCATTTGTTCTGTCTCTATTCCTCTTCAGGACTTGGTTTCCCATAGAGGCAGGATCTTTGCTTCTTTGCTTGGTTTCTTTTTCAGATTTTAGACATTCTTTTGGTCCATCTCCATGACTTTTCCTGCTATTGGAACAGAAAAAAATACCTGTAGCAAAAAATTACAGTTTTCTTCACAAACATTGAAAACATGGTTTTATCCATCTTGACTTCAGGATCACTCTCCTCTCTTCTCACCACAGAAAATCTTCTAATTTTTTAAAAGATATAGAGCAAAAGATTTGCAACCTAGGTCTGTCACAGTCCCTTTAATAAGGAACCACAGAACCACTTTTCTTCCATCATATACACTTAGCCTCAGACATTTCTTGTATGTAAATCAGAAAGCTGTATGTTTTTCTGATGAAACAAAAGTAAAACAGCATGCTCAAGTTCATCTTACTACTGGTATGTACAGTATCTATACATTAAAATTGACCAAAGTGCTAGATAATTTGTTTGGTCTACTTAGTCATTCTCCTGCACATTCTGTACCTTTCCCCTTTTCCTGCGTGATTTATCCAGCATGGAAATGTTAAGAGGAAACAAACCCTCCATCAGGTCCAAAGCAGTTTTTTAAGAGGATGAGGCATGAGAATGTCCACCAGAGAACTGTCTTTGGCAATGATCTCCATAACAAGCTCTTGGTATTGCTGGTCCTGAGAAGACTGCAGCCTCCTTTTGGGCAGGTGTCTCTGTCTCCAGGGGTACATCATCATGGTTGCTGTGCATGCATGTTTTCTGGGTAAGTAAACCTTTGGCTGGATTTTTGTCTCCTTGGTGAGGCTGAGCCGATGCTTTGTGGAGATGAATTCCCTGCTCCGGAGAAGCTGCAGGCTGCTGCTGCTCTGGACGCTTGAGTGCAGCATTCGCACTCAGAGACTGAGTTCTGCATTCCTCCTCCACTCGAGTGCTCTCCTTCCTTCCACTTCTTGGAACAGGAATAGAAGTTTCAGGAGTCTGCTCCTTTAAATCCTGACCACACAAGCATCCAGTTATGTCATTATGTTCATGATTCTTGGATCCATCTTTCTCAGGATCATGGAAGCTGTAAGGAAGAAGACAATTCCTTTTATTTGAGACATTCCCTCTATAACAGATGTTCTTGCAGACTGTTTAAGGGCTATGATCAAATGTTTCTGATGTTATGGTTCTGTCTGGAACTTTCAGTTAACTTTTATGCTAACCTAGTAAACTAGGAAATTTAAGAAAAAAATATTTTTTTTTTCCCATAAGCCATTCAAGTCTCCAGAAACCACTGGGATATTTTTGAAAGAGTGGAAATTCTTTTACTACAAAAGAGTCGGAATCACTGCCTTGCTAAGACAGTGTTCAGATGTTTACCTCTCTTGATGCTCCTCAAACTAGCAAAGCAATTATGGAGAGTTAAAACACAAACTTCCTAGTTACCGATGTGTAAACGGCACAGGTCTTTTTTTTCCCTTTAAAAAAACACCAAAATCCCCTATTGCACCAGTCCTGATCACACATATTCTCCAGGACTGGGCATGTCTGAGCTGTTGGAAATGCTGTTTTCTCCAGAGCTCGGATTAGGGAGCTATGATCCCAGAGATCTGATGGAGCTCGTCTGTGCAGGGACAGCTGCTCAAGGGTACCTGGCACTTTGCCCTTCACACGGTAGAAACGATTTTAAAGACTGACCCAGATAGTACTGGGTGAATATTCCCATACGGACAACGAAGGATCCCGAGAGAGAAGGAAGGGAGCAGCGCTTGGGGTCCCACGCTTGGGACATCGTCTGTACCCAGGCACAGCTTCCACAGCCTTACCTGCAGGTTCCGGGGCAGCTCCCACAGCACTGGCACAGTGCTGCTGTACCTCTGGCACGTCTGCAAGTGTCTTGGAAGGGAAAACAGAACATTGGGGCAACCAGCATTTCAGGCGAGACAGCTGCTTAATTTTACTCCTATATTTGTTATCTCTAGAAAGGGAAACTGATGGTAGATCTCCAAGTAGGTTCACCGAGGTTTGTGCTTTTTTGTTTGTTTGTGGTTTGTTTTGTTGGGTGGTGTTTTGTTTGGTTGTTGTTGTTGTTTTCTCTAGGGGGAAAGTTTTGGGTTTTGTTCTTTTTTTTTTTAAAATCTTTGGGGATGTTTTTCTCTACCTCTTTTTAATTAATTAAATTGCTATTATGCTCTTCCTAGGTAGTATCCTTTTCTTCCCCCTAGAAAACCAAAAGAACAGCTGTCAACAAAGATACCTCTCCTCTCATAACAATTCAGAAATTCAGCATTGGTGGGAATTTATCAGTCTCTTCAGTAGGGTCATTTTAGTGGTATGTTAAATTATTTATTTTTTGGCCCTTTATCTTTTTTATTCTTCTCTACAATATTGACAGCTACTGTTTTTCAAATTCAGGAGCCAAAAAAGGTTGGTCATTTATTAAATTCCTATTTCATAAATGCTCTGTATCTTCCTATAATTATATTTTTTGGGATAGGGCTCTAACGAAGTTGCTGTTGTTAACAATAATGACTGCTGGAGCACAAACAGCCTCCTCCTGTATACAGCACGTGTTCTCTGCAAATGCATCTTCCAAGTGTCAGAGACCCTCTTGACTTTTTTTTATGCCCCCTTAAGGTACTGGTTTCTTACCTGTGTAGAAGAAGGAGTGGATTTTGGTCTCTCAGGAGCTCTCCCAGATGCAGAACCACCCGTCTGAGGGAGACTTTCAGCTGATGGACACTTGCTGGTACAGCTCTTGTCTCCTTTGTTGGGATTGCACCTGCTGGTCACCTTCAGTGGGGGAGCAAAAAGCAAAGAAGGAAAAACATCTGGTTATTTTTGTTCACAGAGAAGCTGGCAGAAAACTTCATCATTTTGCCTCTTCTTGTTTCCATTTGGGTTGGAAATCTGGCCAGGGGGCCCTTTGGGATTTGACAGCCTCTTCTGCAGGGGTGGCTTATGCAGTGGGAGGTGTTGTGAACCATCGGGTCTTTGACTGATTTTTCGTTCTATGTATTTGATCAATGCACTGTGCTGGATTTGTTTCAACTCTGTCCTGGAGACACCTGAACTGGAAAATGCCCTTCCTCTGTTCTCTAGAACCCTTCTCCTGGATGCCACTGCATCTTGCTCAGTGATTTCATCTCTAACTTGACTCCATGATACTTCCTTATCCATTAGGTGATTGAGCTTCTCAGGCTCAGAGTAGCACAGTTTGTTTTGCTCTTGGGTTACCCTTTTCCTTCCCCCTGCTTGACCTTTTTGTGGCCTCTGTATTTCTTCTTTTCTATTGAAACTTTCCAAGGATTCTAGATGAGAAGGGGAACAAGGAACAGGTTTGGCATCTTTGCTTGCACTGTATAACAAGAAAGACCAAAGGTGTTCAACTGATGTCTGTTTGGAGGATTTCTGTCTCAGTCTGACAGGCAAACTCATCTGTAAGTGTTTTCTTTTAAAGGAGGTTTCTTTGAGAACCTTTTTCTGAGCCACTTTAAGTTTCTCTATATAGTAATTCTGGAAACTCTCTTCTGTGAATGATGCAGTACTCCTAAAAATGAGATCTTTATTCTGGAGCAGGAGATCATCAGCACTACACTGATGGTGGTGGCTGCTTCTCTGAAGCTGATGGCCTTCTCTTTGTATCTCTAGACACTGTGCTGAGGCAGCATAGCTCCTTGATGGAATTTCCTTTGGTGAGCTCCTTGAGTCCTTGTTGGGGTGCCAGACACTGGTGGTTTTCCCTGCAGAAAAATAGTAAAGCATGGGAGTTGCCTGCCTGCTTATTTGTTCACCAGCATGGTCCTCCCAAAGCTGTCTTAAGAGCTGTGTTTGAAATACAGGCTGGTGTTTCTGAAGAAGAGGTTCCTCTTGTTCCAGACACATGCTGAGGTCAGGACTGCTGTTGTTACCCTGGTTTTCTTTCTGGACTTCATGTAATGACTGAGATACGGAATCTTCCTTTGGTCTAAAGAAAGCCATTTGGTTTGTGCCATCACAACACTGCTTCTTTCCCTGATCCTCACACTGAGGGTGCTCTGCTTCCAAAGCATTGCAGCTGCAGGACAATGATGATCTCTGCACTTTATTTTGCTGGTTTGGGACTGGTTCCCTAATACTGCTCAGAATTTTTCCTTCAGAATCATAGCACTGATTTTTGTCTGCATAACTGTTCAGCTTCCTGGCAGTGTTTTTATTTAGAAGAGCATTGTCCATATATTTTAATTCCAAACTGTCCTCAAGCACATCCTGATTCATGTCTGAATGCCATTCAGCATGGAGTAGGCCCTGAGCACAGCGCAAGGACTCTTTCCTCTGTCTGGGTCCAGGCACAGTGCTTGGCAGAGCTGCTTCTCTGGCACTTGGCTTACACACATCCCTGGGACACTGTTTGACTTCCTGTGTATCATTAAGAGCATTGGGGTTGAAATGCGCTTGGTGATAAGATTTTGAGTTTGTCTCTTTGGAAGTTTTATTAGCATGACCTGAATTGTAAGCAGAAAGTATTTTGGGGACATTTGCCACAGAGCTGGTCTTTAAATGTTCTTGAAAAATGAATGGAGGAGGTCTGCTGAAAATGTGTGGATTGCTTCTCTTTGTAGGTTGTTGTGATGGACTCCACTCTCCATTTTCCTCTGTCTTTAATGTCTGAACTTTTGATACCTTATTTGTCAAATGAGAAGAAAGGCCCTCGTTTTCCAGAGTCTTTTCCCTATTAGGCCCTATATCTTGCTCTGTACCTGCATCCTGGTGTTGACTCCATGGTACATCCCTATCTTCTAGCTGGCTGTCCTGCACACCAGGAGCTGTCTGCACACTACACTCAGTGTGCCCTGCAGAGCCTCGTCTCTCTCTTGACTTTTCCAAATGTCTGTAAGTGATGTTGTAGTGATGACTATCCAGTCGTGTGGTAGGAGACAGTGGAGGTGCTGCCAGGGCTGGAGGTTCCTGATTTGAAATCCTTTGGGTAGGAGTAATTCCACAGTGATCTGTGAGACTGGTGCTATGAGAGTTATTGTGGGTGCTCAGGTCTGATGCCTTGTATGGCTGGGGGGATCTGAGGTCAGAGTGTGCAGCACTGAGATGATAAATTCCTGTTACACATTCCAAAGCCGTGTATGGGACCTCCTCTGGCGGCACACGGAAGTTTTCACTGTGGCATGATGGTGTGAGGTACTCTGGAACATTTGATTCTTCTGAGAAAGAGCTGTAAGCAGAATCTGCCTTTCCAGGGAGATGCAAGAGATGGTCCATGCTGCTGATTGACTTCACTGACAAAAGATGAGCATTTTCAGGAGAGGCCACAGGCTCTACCAGCCTCCCAGTTCTGCCACCTTGCCTGTGAGTCCATCTTTCTATCTCATTCCCAGCTAAAGTAATGTTGTAGTATTTCCAGAAATCCAAGTCTGATTAAAAGTCCAGAACCAAATTGCTAGTAATGAATATTTCCTCTACAGTTACATTCCAATAATATCTAAAGAATCCTAAAAAGAAAGAGAAATGTGTGAAAAAGACTCAGTGGGAGGATTCTCATGGCACATCTTGGAAAACCTTTCCCAGAGTCCTAAAACAAGTGGCTTGGACTGACAGAGCATCACGATGAGACATTCTGCTGTCAGTCCCAAGTCATAGATTTAAAAAGATGGCCAAATATTTACGGTTGCAGCTCAGAACTCCCCTGCAAATGGATTAGGAAAAAGCACCAACATAGAGTTAATGTATGACAAATACACAGTTTTTGCAGAGTCTGGAAAACAGCCTGTGTTTATCAGCAGCACTTGACAGTTCCTCTCTGATTGCTGTGCATGATGCCCATAAGTTCAGTTCAATAAATGTATCTCCACAAGCAGCAGCCCAATGGGCCAGGAGAAGAGAAGCAGGAGATTCTTACACCAACAGCATGACCCTCTCAGCCACCTCTGCCAGCTTGAAAATCCCTGATGTCCTCCCAGGCAGTAGGAGCCCCAAATAAAAGACTGAACCTGGCACCAGAGTGGTTCTAACCAGCAACCTTGTTTAGTAATTCTCATTTAAACCAGCTCTAGAAAATTATTAATTATTTAAAAAAAGCAAACACTCTAGAAAAACTTCATCAATAAGCTGCTCCAGTAAAAGGCCTTCTGGGGAGACACAAACTGTGTCCAGATCCCTCCAGAATATTACATGTCTGATTTATTCATAAAGGTTGAACTCACCAGACATTAATCTGCCATTCCCAATATCATATTTGTGAGGTGGGACCTCAAAATCTGTCAGAAAGAGAGGTTTCAGGGAGTTGTTTCTCTTTAACAACAAAAAAAAATCACATTCCGGCCTTGTTTCAAAGACAGTCCTGGTATCATTCATTTAGAGCCAAAGGAAGAGATGGATAGGAGCCAAAATACACAAGTTAATCTATAAATGAAACCTGGACTGGTGGGGCACACTAAATAAATTAACCAGTTTCTGGGAAATGAAAACAGCCTAACATCACAAAGTAGTAATTTGCCTGCTGGTTTTGGGGGTTTTTTTTTTGGGTGTTTGTCTGTTTTTTCAACATTTCAGTAAGAAACCAACTCAAAGATGTCTGGAGTTCACTCCCTCTTTACAGATGGTTTAAAACACAGTTGTGAAATTTAATTGTCTGTCTGTGAATAACAGGGTCACAAGGGAAATAAGAAGCATCAGTGACTGACTCGCCATGCCATTCCCCATCGTTTTCACCATAGTGTATTGACGAATTTAAAGAAATAAAAACTGTAGATACTTGGAAAGGAAAACCTTGGATTTTCTGAAACCACTGAGGGAAAAAAGCATTTGAATGATGGCAATGACACTAACTGCAGACTGGGAGGGTACCAGTCTCTATCACACTGCCCTTACATTTCCTAGGCAAACAGAGTGTCCTGGAAGTCTGGCCTATGGCAGTGGTCTCTGGGTCTCAGAGCTGGGAGAACTCAGTGGCACCTGGAGGTGCTATGGGTGCAGAGGATCAAACTCCACAGGAGCTGCATTCCACAAGAGATCCAGAAAGCAGATTGCCCTGTCATTCTTATCTCCCTGCTTGTAATTAAATTTTTCTCCCAGTGTAACTTCTCCAAGCAGCTCTTACTGATGATGCTGTAAATAAACCGAGCCAAGTCTTTGTCTGGGATGTGCTGGCACAGTTCTATGGAAGTTAATGGAGCCACCCTGATTTACAATGAGAATTTAGCTCTAACTTTTCACAACAATGCCTAGAATCCAAGTAACTGCTGTGATTTAGTTCATGTCTATCAATGGAAGTACTGTTCTGGTTTCCTATACCAGTCATTCCCAATCTCTTCCCCCATCATTTCAAGCACCTCATTGGGATTTACAGTGAAGTTGGCAATATAGAGAAGAATTTTTGACAGGTTTTTATGATGACACCAGAAGTAATAGGAAATACAATTTCAGTATCGTAGAAGAACCTCTGACTGATACTGAAACACACCTTAGGGAAAACTTGTCTTATTTCTATTGAAGAGGGTATTTCCTAAACTCTGGCAGCAGAATCATTTATCTCAATGTGTTCAAAGAACTATGTGGAAACTGCCCTCTCTTTCCCATGTAAGAGAAAATAATTAATGTCCTTAAAAGTCAACTGCCATGAACAATGACATTATTGTTCTCAGTGGGGAGGTGGTAGAACTTCCTCATGGGTTGTGCTGTCTCTGGGTCTCAGATATATTCTGGCAAGGCTGGAATACAATGTGCCATTCCAGACCGGCTTGCAATATTTTCATTGTAAACCACCGAAAGCAAGAAGAAAAATGTTAAATTAAAGTATATCAGAATCAAAACCACTGAAAGATGAAGGGAAGTGTATTAATAGAGTAGGAATACAGGAAAGTATATTCACTCCATGCCCAAGGAAGAAATAAAGCTACTGCCAACCTATTAAGTTCCAAAGTTGTCTGCTTTTTGTTTTTTGTTGTTAAAAACAGAGGCTAACTTAACTTCAATCCACATCAACCTGTTCTGGGGAAAGGTGATTTGCACTGCACAATCTTGAATTCTTAGCAACCACCTCAGTATGTCAAAGCCTCATGTCTGGCAAATTGTGTTGGTTTGAAAGTAAAACCAGTGCGAGACTCCAAGTCAGTAATACAATTTAATAGGAGAAAAGAGAAAAAATAAAATACATGCAATAATATAAAAGAAACAACCACCAACACAGTCAGAAATACAACCTGACACCCTGTCAGTCAGGGTGTTGGTAGCAGTCCGTATAAATGGTGGCTGCAGTCCTCCTGGATGACAGATGTGGTTCAGCTGAAGCAGTGCTCCTGTAGAAGGTGCAGTTTTCCTCCGAAGATACAGCGATGATGTGGAAATGGTCCGACTTTCCTCTGGGATCCAGTAGAAAGGTCTGCCCTCCCGTCCCAAACCCCAGGTTTTTTATCTAGGTAGGAAAGGCTTGGCTCCTGTCCCTGGTTGGGGCATCTCCCAATGGGATGATGTAATCTTATCAGTCACACAATAGGACTTAATGGCCCATTAACAGAATATATCTTCTGGAGGAAGGATGGGTTGTGAATAGATAACGATGATCATCTCCCGATCTTATCAGATGGCACATCAGCAGAGGATATCTCCCACAGAGATAAGGATCACCACCCCTCCCACATTTTAACAGATGGTGATAGAATACACATTTTTGCATTGTACACCAGGACACAAATGAACTCTGATTTAAAAGAAATCAGAGAAAACCTAGTGAGTCCAGACAACAGTCAATGAATAACTTACCTGTCTTATAAGGTCAAGATTTATTATAATTACAGTTTGGTCTTGTTTGACCTCATTTAGAGTTTGCTAGGTACCATAACTGATCAGTAACTCACCTGCATTTACATACAATGCTTGCTCAAATAAATCATCACCCATCAGAAACACAGGTATTCTCTCTATCAAGTCTCTGGTTTGCCCTGAACAACCCGGGAAAAGTGGCCCCTGGCATATAACACAATCTGCAATAATTTGTGTAATTGTGGAGTTCCCTTGAAGTGACAAACATAATCTTTCTGTCACAGAAGCAAGAATGAGAATTTTCCTTAATAAACACAACCACAGTTCAAACCTTCCTAGTTCTCTTTTTGTATAATTGTCCTTTTTATACAAATGAAAATAAAGGGGAAACCCACAGCTGTTAATCTGGATCAAAATACAATACACAAGTGCTCTCCAGAAGAGAACAAGTGTGCAAAACGCAAAGCAAACGCCTTGACCAACCTACCAATATTATGTCATGTCCAAATTTGTGAATGACCTGTTCCTTATCAAAGGGTAAACACTGGATGTAAATATTAGCTGAAATTCTTCAGATTCCAGTCTGTTGCATAGTCTGCAGCACTTGACCCATCTGCTCCCCAGACTGTGAGATCTCATTGCTACCAAAAGATCACCTGAGAGACTCTTGCTTTAGCAGGTGATCCTCCTGGCTTTCCCAGGGCAACCTAGAGAGGCAAGAATCCTGGAGAAGTCAGGTGCAGTCTCTGGCATCCCAGAAACCTTCAGGAGGTCATCAGTTGGTGATCTAGCACAGGTTCCTAGTTCTCTCTCCAGGTCTTTCTGGACAGAAACCCATGCCCCTGCACAACATGGATGCATTCATTCTCAGTGACTCTACCTCTGAAATATGAGATGTTTGAAAATAAGAGCTGCTTCTTTGACCAGACTCTGAAATATCCAGAAATTCCAGACAAATGCCCGAAGTCTTCAAATTCCATTGCTTTGACATAACTGATGAAAGGGTGAGAGAAATGGAAAGATGCTACATTCAGGAAAGTGTGGCTGGCATTGCCTTTGTGCCCAGCACCTCTGAAAGTCACTATTCTCTCTTTCGCTGCCTTTTCTTTTGAATAGATACTCTCTCTTTGTTATTATTTGTTTCTAGCCTATAATCAACAATTTTATCCCCCTGGACTTTCAACTTTAGGTTCAAACAGGAAGGCAAACACAGCAGATGATATTGCCTTTGGTTGACTGAACAAACATACTTTCTGTTAATCTGGATTTTTTTTGGTAAGATTTCTGAAGACTCTAATCCCTGTTTTTCTCATTTAGTGCAATTTCCAGAACTATCATGCAGGTAGGTAATTGTCACCAAGGATATTGTACATCAAGGACAAAAATCTCACATTTGGCTTCCAGGCCCAGTCGAAGGCTCACCCTGCTACTGGGAGCCAGGGAAGTCGAAGTGTCACACAGTCCCAAAACAAAGCCTAAGTGGGATTTAGGGGAGGTTTATGCCTTGTGTGTACAGAAATAAATTTCACTATAGTCTGAGGAAAGTAAATATTTCCGGTAAAACCCATGGATACACACTTGAGGCTTTCTGGAGTTATCAAGGTGTTGTGAGAAATTAAGAGAATGATGAAAGTAATAATAATAAAATGCATCT